ATACTGAAGATGAATGGATATAAATGACTGACCAGACGACTTTACAAAGTCAGCAGGCAGGTGTACCTGTCTGGAGAGCTGATGGTAGTAAGCTTGAAGGTAGATTAAATAAGCAGGTATTAGAGTCAGGCTACTGTCCTTCTGAACCGGGTCATCCAGTCCTTTGAAGACAGCCTTCAAATGTCCCAACAAGAGGGGCTGCAAACCACTAACATGACCCCAGGAAACAGGAGGTGGAGGGGGGCACTCCTCTCCCTGAGCTCTGTGAAAGAAGCATGAGAAGGAAGCATGTAGATGTGGGACACTCATCAAACAGAGAAACTGTTGACAGCATGTCCCTTCCCTGTACCTGACCATGCCGGCCTGGAGCTCCTCATGGCAGCCAGCGGTGTGTGTGACTTGTGTGAGCAGAGAAAGCAGAGCTGAGAGACGGTTCAGCTGCAGAAATGGCAGAGAATGTGGGGCTGACATCATGCTGCTGGCAGACTGCAGCGACCTCACCAAGGCTGGGTACAGGTCTCTGGGAGTTAAACACAGGTTAAAAAGGTACAAAAAACTCACTAACATCAGGCTGTTGCACTAACTGTAGAAGATAGAGGCTCCTGACACACAAACTAAAAAAAAAATTTTCAGCAATAACATAACCAATGATTCTGCAAAGCAATGATGCCTTTTAACTTCTAAAAAGGACAATCCCCCACCCGGGCAGAGATGATTGGAGAAAGGAATATTGTGAGGATAATAGTCTGATTTTCTGCAGTTGTAAATTTGCAAAGCTTCTCTGTGGCTATCTTTCTTGATAACTATGTTTACTGCATGTTCAGAAAACACACAGCAAAATAAAACATAGTGGCTCGTCTGCAAAGACTTCTACCTCAGATAGGCACACCCTTACTCACATGTACAGTTGGCTGGCTTGTCCATAGCTGGCAGCTACAGCCCACAGCCTGTAGGCCTCAGTGGTGATCCCCAGGGCCTGGTTAGGCTCCATCAGCAGCTCGCTGGGCTCAGCACTCAAGAGACAGGACAAGCGCTCCCGCACGCCCAGAGAGTTTAACTGGAAAAGCAAGAGCAGAGGAATTTAAAATCATTCCAAGTTTGTTTGTAAAGCACCAATGCCACACAAGGTCCGGCAAGGTGCCTTACAGAAACTAAAATGAAAGACAAAAATAAGAACATTATATGTTTATATATAAATAGAGGGAATTCAATTTAGAAAAAATAAAAAGCAAATGAATGATTACTGACTGAGTGATTTAGGTTTCCAGGTAGTTGAGTCCACAGAGTATTGACAATAACTGCTGCATGGTCTTGTTAGACAACCTAAGGAGTTTACATGGCTCCTGACCAGCAACTCTGAAATCTATATTAGGTTTTAAAACTATCTAATGTTTTAAGAGCCAGAAATCATACTTTCTGTGGTACATTTCATTTTTCCCCATCTCTCAACATAGAGCTGATGAGCCTTGGCAAAAACTTCAGTTGTTTAATCTTCTAATAGAACGTTCTCCTAAAAGCTTTGTGGTTTTGTCAACATGTAGTTTGGCAAATTCCAGTCTGGCTTTTTTATCAATTCTTTTTAAAAATGGCGTCCTCCTTGGTCGCCTCCCTTTAAGTTCACTTTGTCTCAAACAATGACTGAGTGCGCGATCTGACACTGAAGTTCCTTGAGATTTTCTGGGCTCTTTTGTCACCATTAATATTATCTGTCTGTTTGATTTTTCATTCATTTTCTTCATGCAGCCAAATCCAGGAAGGTTGGCTACACTCCTACGGATCTTAAATTTCTGAATAACATGTGCCGCAGTAGACATAGGAACATCAGGCTGCTTGAAGATGATCTTATAACCTTTACTTTTAACATGCTGGTCTAAAATTTTCTTTATAATCTCCGGGGACGAACATTTCCTTAAATTCCCCCGGTACATGTTGAGTGCGGTACGCACCATGTCACCAAAAAGCACAGTGACTACCTGTAGCCCTATCTATAGGCCCACTAAAGATAGTCGACACCTTTGATGCTAATTAGTGACCTTTGGTCACATTATTTTCAGTCTTTTCTAAAGGGTACCATCATTTTTGTCCAGGCCTGTTTCATGAGTTTGTTTTTTAAAATCATTATTTTGAAGCATAGTTGAAAAACAATGTCTGACTTTCATTTGTTCATTTTTTCAGAATTATAACTATTATTATAACCATTGTAAATTTTAAGTAATTTCTTTAAACCAGGGTCTACATGTATATACTGTTAAAGCATATACAGAAATGGCTACTTTAACCAGTTAGTCTACATGCATTTTGGTTTAGCTTTTATATTTAAATACTGGATCAACTGAGTGGAATCTACTTCACCACTGGAGGATGTGTCATCCCAACATACTGCTAGATAAATATCTAAACATCAGAGATGGATCGATGTATCCACCAGCCGATGGTTATGGCTGATACTAGCAGCTTTTTCTTGTATCTGTATTGTCTGATCTGTGCGTGCATTGACCGATTCATTAGTGATTTGAGCAGCCATTCAAATGAAGCACATGGATTACTGCTGCCATCATCTGCTATTTATTGCTTTTTTAAATGCGTTTATTAATGTTCCTTATTTAAAGTAAGACTAGTGTAGTATTTGCCATCATTAAATAAATAAATGGAGGAAGGAAAAGAAATATCAGCTCCAGGAAATCTAAGCAGACTAATGCCAGCATCTTGTTTGAAAAACAAAACTGTATTGGTCAATCTCTGATAAGACACAGTTTTATCAAGTCCATGATGACTTCCTAAAACACATCATTTAAACATTTACCAGTCTGGCACATGCGTGTCTCCCAGATGTTGCCAAAACCCTCAAGAGCTTCATGGCGTCGGCCAGAGGGTGTCCATAAATTGAGACAGGACTGAGTGAAGACGGACACTCCCAGGATGTGGGAAGGAACTCTGACATCACCGTCTCCATCAGACGAGGACAGTCCAACACCTGCGTGTGAGACGCAGCGCCGTTTAATCCAGATGTCGTTTGTATGACTTTGTTAAGTTACCCATGCGCATCTTACCTGGGAGGCAGCTGATGAGGAGTGCCGTGCGACACGTGTTAGGATGAGCAGGATGTCCTGAACAACGCGTGGGGAAGGCCGGATCACCTCTAGAATGTAGCGCAGCCTGGGGAGGAGCTTCATCTTCAACAGACCCTGAAACAGGAACCAGTGTTCAGCAGAGAAAACAGCTGCTGAAACACAAACACCGTAGGTTGTTACCTTAACAACATCCTGCCTGGCAACATCATAATCACTCTTCCTTTCTTCTTTTTCTTTAGCCGTCTCCTTCATGCTTTCACTCAGCCCTTCATCCTCTTCATCTTCCTCCTCCTGTGAGGATGGAAGCAGCGGGAAAGATGCTAGGCCATGATACCAGGAGAAGGTGGAGTCCAAACATTCCTGAAACAAACCCCAAAAAATACCCATACGGAAGCATTTTAAATAAAACTCATCTTCAATAGGAACATCAAAGTGATGTGATTTAAAAGGAAAAGTTTAGAGTCTAACTTCATCTTCCACACACACTAGGAGTGCTTTAAGTGCATGCACAGCTGCAGACATCACTCCTTCGATGTTATCATCGAGGGCAAAGCGAAGCAGGAAGAGAAGACCTGCATCAAGCAGGGTGGATGTAACGCTGCCTTTCAGAACGGATTGGTATCTTCCAGCTCGTGCCTGTTGGAATAGAAGAAAAATGTGTTTTTTCGAGGTATTTCTGTTGTTTTGCCTCACTCTCTGTGTGCAGGTTTAGGTACTTTTGCGATGATGCAGGCAAGGGTGTTGAGAGCCAGACTTCTTTGCTGGATAAGCTGACTCCGAGACAGAATGAATAATTCCTGCAGAGAGTAACCAGCTCGCTGGGGAAAGAAAACAAAACCAGAATAAGAAATCATCGCTTACTTAACAGCTCAATATTAATTAACCACTTTAAGGACATCACTTAACTGTTTATAGGGCAAGTTACCATTTTTGAGACCCCTCAGTGAGGTGAAGATTTCTATTCAGCCATTCAACAAAGATATTACTATGTGGTTGTACATGTTATTTTTGCTTTTGATCATTTAATGATGAATTATTACCTACAGTAAATTAAGTTGAAAGGAAAAGTTAAGAAGTTACGAATAAAGAAAGTAAAAAATCTAAGTAAAAAAGTTTAAAAACTGATTGAAAAATTAAAAAGTAAAGTTAAAAAGTTAAGAAAGTCAAAAGTGTGAGTGCCTCCATCAGCATTAAAAGCTCTAACGGTTATGAAACAGAAAAATTTTTGTTTCTTTCAGTCTGTGTTTATTCGTCATGGATTTCTTGTAGGAGCACTTTTGTTTTTTTATTTTCTTAATATATTAGGGCAAGTGGACTTTTCTCGTTATTACATTGACCTTAATTTTTGCCATCAAAATATACATATTTTTTGAATGTTACAAAAGTAATAAGCTCTTGTTCTATCCTCCAATAACACTCTCGGATAAAAAAATTTATTTTCAAAGTATTTCAATCAGTGCCCTATAAAGAGTTTAAGTTAACATTTCATCATTTTGATAAAATAAAGTTTCCCAGTTTGATAACAATATTGTATTATATTAACCCCTGTATATAAACTGTTTCATCCTCTTTAAATCAACAGACCTCAGGCTCCTCTCCATGGTGGTGCAGACCTAAGTGGGTTGGCAGATCCTCTGAGGGGGGGATTAAGGTCCCGGTGAAGTCAAAACGAGCCAGCATGGCCTTTTAAGACACAAAAAGACACAACATATAACGTGCTAACTAATTAACAAACATTTCTTTCAAAACAGCACTTTCAGCTGAACAAGAAAGTTAGCAAGCAGAACCAAACGTTATATTGTAAATACATTCTTTCCAAAATATTTGTCAAATATCAATATTGCAAAATAGATGTTCAGAAATTCAAATGTGTAGGAAATTTAATTTTGATTCAATTTACTTTTGCATGCAAATAATATCCTGCAGAGGATATTCAGTCATAAGTAACTGAGGAAACCTGCCAAAGATCACAAACTTAATGTATTATAATGACAGATTAGTCATCTGAAGGCACTTTACAGAGACAATATAGTCAGGTTCATACAGCAATCCCCTTTTAACAGCAGGAAATCTCAAGCAGAGCCAGACTCAGAGTGAGCAGCCTTCTAACATCAGATAAGATAAAAAGTCAGATGGTAAAACGAAAGTTAAGAAAAGCTCAAATATAATTAGATTAAAAACAGATAAACAATGCTTTTCAATCGAGGTCCAACCAGATTAGTTCAACTGTTTTTTTATGATAAGTCCCTGGAGTCCATAAATAAAAGAACATAATTATGAAAGTAGGAGCAACAAATGCAAAGATTTAGTCAAATTTCACTTTCAATCTTAAAATGGGAGCTGATAAAAGGTCCTGATATCTCGATCTCGCTGTCCTAGAGAAAGATAAGAGGCCAAAATAATTCCAGAAAGTACCATTAGCTTGTTGCTCCCTAAAAGCCCTTCCAGAAACTGTATGTCGCATTGCAAAGAAACCAGGGCAGAGTGATCACTATAAGATGCAGCTTCAGAGGATTTGAAACAGTATTTCCCCATTTAATAAGCTGCAGGTGATTGAGACATAAGTGGCAAAAAAAAAAATAGACTAATCTCACCAAGAGGAAATAAAAAAACACAGAGATCGAAGTGCTGAATGAATAAAAACACAAAGTTCACAAATATCCCTTAACTGTTAAAAACAGCAATAAAAACATCATCATATGCATCAAGAAACCAATGAAGAAAGTTCAGCCGGGGTCGTGCGTCACCTTTCTGGTTCCTTTCTTTCTGGGTGAAGGCAAGTCCCTCATCCACTCCAACTTCTCCGGCTCCAAGGTGTCCATGTGGAGCCATTCCTTCTGGGGCTTCACAGGGAGATCCTCCTCTAAGTTCATGTATATGAAAAAACAATTAGCATCACCAGTTTTATACAATAAATATACATATTCTACTGATAAACAAACAAATACGTATCAGGAGCTTTTCTACCCTAACTGATACTTTTCTACTAAAGTTTTTTGTTGTTCGGTTGATTACAAAAAACTATTTTCTTTTCCATTCCACCATTCTGCACACATTATACAGAAGTCATACGTATGTTACATAAAACCCCATGCAAGTCGGAATGTAAAAAATTAATTTAATAGATATGAATAAAAGAACACCGTCCTAGCAAAACAAACTGGCCATCATGCAGAAAAGAGGCGATTGCACAGAGACACCATTACTGCGGTAACGATCAGGAAAGGCAGGAAGCTATGGGGATAGCCTACCTGTGACGTTTAACAACAGCTCTCGGTTAGTAAATTGAATAGAAGGGTTTTATTTTTAGTGCCAGTCATTTGATCCTCTCATTCTACAGGATTTCTATTCTGTTTTAGTGGAAAGCATAAAACAGAAAGGCCATTATGGTCACTAATGGGGCTAATGAGGTCACTAGATTGATAGATGGATTGAAAAAAAGATCTTAGGGGATGTTTTTGTAGCGCTAAGGCAGCAGAGGGATTTTACGCCCTCATAGGACATCCTGTTTATGTGAAGCAGCTGTTTCTCCAGTGGAGAGTTCTGAACATTTTTACTGCAATGGATGGTGTTCTGTTAGATGAGCAACCCATAGTCAATACCCGTTAATCCCTTTAGTTTTGTATGAAAAAAAAAACTTTAAACTACCTCAACAGGCATTTATCCCTTTAGCCCAGGGGTCGGCAACCCAAACTGCTCAAAGAGCCATATTGGACAAAAAATAAATAAAAAATCTGTCTGGAGCCGCAAAAATGTAAAAGCCTTATATCAGCCTCGTATAGCAACACGGGCTCTAAGTGTATTATCCCACTATAGAAAAGGACTATATGGGCTTAAATATATAATAAGCATTCACGATTAAATTTTTATCCTGAAGCAAATGTCACATAGTAGCCTGAGGTGACGGAGGAACAGTGAATGCTCCCATCACGCACCACTTCACCGAGCGCCGCTTCACCACCTTAACTGTGCGGTTTCAGTTTTCTTGCAATGATGAAATTATATAAACACAACAAAGAAATCTTTCTATGGTGGAAATGTTTCTGTTGGGAGGAGTTTATTGAGTCATGAGGAACCAAGCAGGAACTGACACCCATCAGAGCAGAGCTCTCTAACCCTGAAATCCCACATCATCCGTCACCATCGTTTATTGGTCTGATTATTTTTAGGATTTGGGGAAAAAATGGAAGAAAGTTCAGATACCTGCATCAAAGCACTGCCTGTTTGATCTTTGGATGGTTTTCCATCCTTGCAACAAAACTAGCACCAGTAGTGGAGTTTGGAGATGCAATCCAGTTCTTAAATCTATCTTTGCGTTTCTCTAATTAATCCTGCAATCGCACTTTTTCTCTCACTCCCAGCTTGGTGGTGGGCTGCAGATTTAGCCTTCCCTGGAAATGCCTTTCCAAATTGTTCTTTTTTTTTGACACCCTCTCATTACAAAGCAAAAATGCAGGCAATCGTTCAGCATTGATAATGAAAGCAAATGAGTCGGCCTATTTGAATCCTCTTTTCTCATCAGCTATCTTTCTTTTTTTATATTCCGAGACACACCTGCAGCTTTGTTTGCCTGGCACCGCGCCACGCTGGTTTCCAAGTTATGACCACTGATCTCTATGGCTTTGACGCAAATTATTGTTTACATTTATTCATAAAACAAATGCTTAAAGCATTGGAAAACATTCATTTTTGTTTGCAACCTGCACACCATATAAAAAAAAAAAAATGTTGATAAATTTTGGAAAAAGCTCTAGGGATCCACAAGGGGGAGGCTAAAGAGAGGCTCCAGAGCCGCCGGTTGCCGACCCCTGCTTTAGCCATATACAAAAAAACTATTTAATTACTTACTTCTTGTTGTTTTTTTAAGCGTATAGCGATCTCAGCTTAGTTTGTTGGTTTTTTGTACATGACTATAGGGATACACGCCTGTTGAGGTAGTTTGAAGTCTATATTTCGTACAAAACTAAAGGGATAAACACAAATCTGGCGTCTTGCGCATTGACTATGGGTATGCTGGTCTGACGGCTTATGCTCATCTGACAGAACAACGGCACCGACTACTGCTGAGAACCACGGACAGCGACTGGTATTTATTCCTGGAATGAACTGTGATACTTTTGGACTTCAGTATATCTCACCAGTTAAAGGAGGAGGTGCTTTCGGTTCCTTTTCCTCCTCCATCTCCACCTCCTCTGGACTCGGACACAACACAGCAGCATTGTAAGACTCTTTGCTTTCCACGTTTTCAGCAGGAGAACCTTCTATGCTGCATTTATCCTCTGCTGTGCTTTCAGATGGGAGATCATTCAGAGATTTCCTTGATCTGATAAACTCCACCAGTCTGGGATCTGAGGGGGACATTGAATCAATAATGACGTGAAACACAAAAACAATAACATCTGTTTGATGTAGATGTTTTGGGGCTAAAATTAAGGTGGACAGAACCTCATTTTTAAAGATCTTTTTTTTTCTCACCAAGCTGAGACAAAAGTTTCTTCTGCTCTTCCAGGATCTCAGATTGAGACATCCCTTCGAGCTTTGCCTGGTTCTCTTTGTGGATCCTCAGAGTCTCTACAGAACTGTCTGTTCCCAAAAGACCCTCACCAGACACCAACCTAGGACCTGAGTTTGAAGGAATATAAAAGCAGAGAGGATAGATTCGATGGTGTTTGCTTAAGAAATCAGCCTTTAAAGAGGTGTCAATTCTAAAGTTACTCACGATCCCCAGAATCCGAGGAGAGAATCTGTCCTCCTGGCTCAGAGTTCTGAAGAGCTTCAGCTAAAGATGGTTTCGCAGCTTTTGCTTCTTTTAGTCTTTGAGCTGCAATCTGACGTGCAAAGATGCTCCTCCTCCCTTTGACTGATGAAGATGGAACCTGTAGGTTCAGTAGAATAAAGCCAAACCTTTTTAGAAGAGATAACAATCTCAACAGTGGCTGTTTGCATTTAAGGAAAGGTGCCTTGCTAAAAGTATTTAAACCAAAATTAACTTTTCCATGTTTTTTTGACTGTACGCGGCTGTCCGACACAAAGCAGTGCACGAATGGAATTAGAAGAAGCATTGTAGATGCCTTTCAGAAGTTTTGAAGGACAATAATCTCAAAGGTCTGATACACATTTATATTTATCACCTTTAACCCTGATAATGGAACAACAGAAACTCTGGAGAAGCTGCATAGATCCATGCCAAATTTGTTGGATTATATTGTTTTAAACAGACCTTTTAGCCTACAAGCAAAGTACTACCCATCTACAAAGACAGCATGTGACCATCAAAGCATGGTGTTTGCTGAATCATGCTATTTTAAAGCGGGGATTTGAAAGACAGGGCTGATGAGAATCCTGGAAGACCTTATTAGATGCAGCAGAAGTTTGTCTTCCGTCAGGACAACAAGCCTTAACATACAACTTGTGCTACCTATGAAAGGTTTAGATCTTAGCATATATGTGTGATAAAAAAAAAAAAAAAGCCCAGTTTGAGTCCAGACCAAAATCCAAGTGGCAATCTGAAGCAATACAAAAAAATGAGCTTTTACAGCAAAACGAATGGGTAGTTATTTCTATGCACAGATGTTCAAATCTGCTAGAGACATACCAACAACTAAAGATCCACTGATAAAGGCTTTTTAAGGACGCAGCTGATATCGATTATTTTAACATCAGTCGAACCAATCCACAGTATGTAGTGATGATTTTTGAGGGGGCAATTTTTGAAGCAGATATTGTTTTTTTATCCCTATATTTTAATGGATAAAATATGTTATACAAGTCACAATCAAACAACCAAAACAAGAAAAAAATAAAGACATAAAAAAACATGAACAATGATGCAAATGGAAGAAGTGGCAATGGATGCCCTTCAATTGATCTTAAGGCAATAGCTCCTGGAGGAACCAATGAATCAGGGACACATTCATGCATCAGCCGACATTTTAGAAAACAGTTGATGCATCGGTCTATCTATACCCAAAAGGACCAGCAGCTGTAATTGCAATGAATGGCAGTTTGACAGAGTGTAGATTAGGGTTGTCATGATACAAAATTTTTTAATTCGATACCAGTACTCGGGGGGAAATAGTCGATACTCGATACAATTTTCGATACCACGAGGTTAAAAACAAAGACCCCAAAATTTAACAAAAATATTTTCATTAATAAATGAAATACAAAAAATAAATAACTACAATAAAAACTATATTTTGAGGTTGTATTCTGTGAACAATATTAAGCAAGCTTGATAAAAAACTAACAAAATAACTTAAGTGTTCCTTCCTTGGCTATGCTTTGCACACATAACAATGACACTAGCCAAACCAGTTAACAAACAAAACTAATTCTCAGCAGCTGCACCTGTTACAGAAAAAGTCTGAAACTGAAACAGAATTATTCAATCACACTGTGTTCAGAAAGTGCATTTTCTCCTATTCTACACTCTAGATGAATGACTGTGTAGGTGCCAGTGGTGGAAGCACTTCTGAAAATAAGTATCGTATCCAGATACGTTTTAGCATCGATGCTTTTTTGAGTATCGATACTTTTGACAACCCTAGTGTAGATTCAGTGGGGGATGACAAAAGAAATGCAGGGCACAATCTGCATTTTTTCATCTGTGAAAGGGTTGGAGAGTCTATTATTTACTGAACTTCCTGTTAGCTATTTATTCAAATCATCAAGTTGGAATATCTATTAAAACTATATTTTTTTGGGGGGGGGGGGGTATAACCATTGCCTTTTATCACCATGCAGGTAATTTTTATGAATTAATTTAAAAACTATAAAAATGACAAGAACCTGAAGTAAATTTATACACATGAAATTATTAGCAAACTATACCTGACTGCTGGTTTCTGAGCGGTGGAGTACTTTGGGAAAAGCCAGTCCTGTTGACGCCGGTAAGGATATAGGAGCACAGCTGGTGTCTCTCTCCTTCAAGTAAACAAAAACTTCTTAAGGTCCAAATTTTAAAAAAAAAGACAAGAAAATGGTGATACATATTTAGATTAGATTTACATCTAGATAAACCTAAATAGTTAATTCTATGACATATACTGTTTACATGTGCACTGATTTCACCAATACAATTAGCAAACAGGTGCCCCCATATCCCTGCTGGTTGATATTTTTACAAACACTTACAACAATCTTGGAGAGAACAGCACTGATGTGGGTATCATGTCTGTCCAGCCTCTCCCCAGCATCCTCATCCTCAAAAGTGACACGACTGGCTTTAAATCGAGACTTCTTGGGAGGGGCTGGTGTTAGAGAGGGCAGCTGGTCTGGAAGATCTAAAACAAACACATTTGGGACTAAATTATTCCAAAGCAGAGCAGCAGTTTGGTGTTCTGACAGTAGTGGCTTGTTTTTAACCTTCAATGGTGACCATATCTTTCTGATGTCCTTCATTTTCACTGCCGTGCACTCCATCAGCATCTCCCTCAGCATCTCCTGCCTCTCCTCTCCTCTTGTCAGGACGGCGGACCATACAGGCAGCCGAGGGAGCTCCGGAGGTCAGGAAACGCTCCTGTTCCCTCAGGAGGTCTGCCTCAGAGTCGGTGGGTTTTGGACGTCGCAGCATCCCGCTGAAGCAAATGAAGATGACATTAAAAACACCTGATCAATAAGTAATAAAACTAAAGAGAATTCAGATTATTATAGATACAATCATTTTATCTTTGTAAACAACTATTATGTACATTCATTATTTTCTTTATTTTTCTTTTTTGTTATTAGAGCACCTGTCTAATGTTCTATGTAACTATATGTCAGTATGTTTGTACAATTTCTTCAATAAAGTTCTAATAAAAAAATTAAATAAATATAAACCTTCACTTCCTTTCATTAGAAGGAAAAACAGACCAGGTACATTCATCTTTTTTTAATCCATTTCGTATTTCAGTTTAGAAATTTGCAACTCTATTTTCAACTGTTTCATAAATGGCTTGACGACTTTTCACTGTTAATCAGATTTCAAACAGTAAGATTTTTGTTTTTAAAAGTGAATTTCTGAGCTAAGCTGAAACAGATCCGTTTATTTGCTGTTATTAGAAGTTAATTTTCGGCTCATATTCGGTTTCAACGTGTCACCCTAACTCATTAACTACGTTAATACATACATATATCATTTGACAAGGCAAGCTGAAGATTATTTTAAAGATTATAAGATCTTTAGTCCGCTTTTGATGTTCTGTTTTTCACGTGCAGTTTATAACTGAGCACAAGTGTAAATGTTACGTTCAGCGAACGTTAGCTTAAAATTAAAGCCGTTCTAGTTAAAGATGAAACTCGCTTCAAATAATAATAATAATGTAATAATATTTTTAATTAGTGTGGTTTGAGCTAACCTTTTTTAAGAGATAAATCCTGGAGGATCCTCACCGAGATAGCTGGTTCACCCGGAAGACTTTGAGTGTAGGACAACATACGAGCTCTTCAAAATAAAAGCTCATCAAGGAAAAAACAAAACAAAAACATCTTCATCTCTTTATTCTCCAAAGAGTGAAAGTAAAATAAGCAAGGGAGAAGCAACACAAATGAATAACACCAAACTTAGTGATACTGTAACATTATCTCTCTTTCATATTGATGTTTTTATTATATATATGATCAGTGGACAAGATGATTTAGAAACCTACAGGATATCAATGACGTAAAGATAATAATTAGAATAGAATAGAGTATTTATTTGTACCACAGTCGAAAAATTCAACTCAAAACTTAAATATAAGCTTAAAAGGTAAAGGAAACAAATGAAAAACTATTAATTTTATCAGTATTATCTTTATCGATTAAAACCGTTTTGGTTTTATGTAGGCTAGATATTAATAAGAAACCTTTTTTTATGATTTATCAAATTATTTAAGAATTTGATTTTATTCATCCACACATTAATCCACAAGGTGGCGGTGATCAATCTATGCTCTATTCCCGAACCACTTTTAAAAGAAGGAAGAAGAAGAAGGATCAGTCGATTGCCCTGTGGTTCACACTCCTCGCCAGTTGGTGGCGGTAATGCTCACCTAACGTACCTGCCAACCGCCATAAAAAAAAATTCAACAACAACACCAAGAAGAAGAGGGATCAATCATGTCTAAGTTCAGCTCAGTAATTTGGCCTAAAGTTGTTTTATTCGGTGACTCAATCACACAGGTTTGTTTTATTCAATAAAGCTTGTATTTGTTTCAGCTTCATCTTAATAATAATAATATTCTTCCATCTTTTAGTTTTCCTTTCAGACTAATGGATGGGGAGCAGAAACTGCAAATAAGCTCGCAAGGTGAGTTTATTAACTGATAGTCAGTGGTTTACTTTGATTAAAAACAATCCACTGATCGTGTCATGCGCACAATAAAGCAGGAAGTTCAACCTGTTTCATTTCTACTTCTGGTTTTATCTGATTTTTCTTCATTTTTTTATTTTATTTGCATGGTTAGAAATGTTAATGTTAGCTAGAAATGTTAATGTTTAGATTTTGATGTGCAGTTTGGTCTCCACCACTGAGTTCAAAACAGCCTAAAACAACATGAACAAGCACAATGATTGGACACAACATGATGCTGGAGATGCATTCTTGATTTTTTTTTTTTTTTTTTTTTATGGATCTGTGAATTTAATATTCAGCTCTTGTTTTTAGAAAATGTGATGTTGTGAACAGAGGGCTGTCTGGCTACAACTCCAGATGGGCCAAGATCATCCTTCCTCGCCTGATCAGCAGCCAGAATCCAGCAGAAAACCACATTGCAGCCATAACCGTCTTCTTTGGAGCCAACGATGCTTCACTGGAAGGTGAAGCGTCACTGAAAAACAAGTCTGCAAGACTTATTTCAGTGTCAAATAAAGTAAAATACTTCACTTTCAGTAGATCCTGTCAGTATTACTGTAGAAGGAAGTGAATAAGGGGAATAATCAGGGGCATTATAAGAAAAATAGTCCAGGAATGTCACTTTGCAGTATTGCGTCAAGGTTTTGTGAATTTAATCAGTCTTTTGCACATCTAGAAGCACTGTGCTTTTAAAATTTGTTATTTTTTGGCTCCTGTAGATAAGAACCCACAGCAGCACGTCCCTCTAAATGAGTATTCAGAGAACCTGAAGGAGATCAGCAAGTTTCTGTCTTCAGCTGGTGTTTCAGCAGACAAGGTCATCTTCATCACTCCTCCTCCTATTCATGAGCCGGCCTGGGAGAAGGAGTGCATCCTCAAAGGTAGACTGCAGGCCACTGGTTCGCCTTCTTTCTTCTTTGTATTGATCGTGGCTGATTCCTCTTCTGTGTCTTTCAGGATGTCCCCTCAATCGGCACAACTCTGTGACGGGACAGTACGCTCAGGCCTGTGTTCAGGCAGCCGGTCAGTGTGGATCAGAAGTTCTGGACCTCTGGACACTCATGCAGAAAGACGGACAAGTGAGTGTTGTTCTGAATTAGACAGAACATATAGAACCCTTAAAAATATTCACACCCTTTGGATTTGTCCCCATGATTTGTGATATTGCAGCCACCACTGTTATTCTCTTTTATTAACCTACACAAAGTAATGCACATCTATTACAATTCATTCTAACAAATTGTTTTTATATTTACAAATGTTTTTTATATATTGTTTGAATATAAAGTTGATGTATTTTTAGCATAGGTCCTATTGAGATAGAATCACAGTTTTTCTCACCTGTCTGAGAATTCCAGAGCTGCAACTGGCTCCTTGGTTCATTTAAAATATTAAAAAATTAACTTTTGCCTTGTTTTTGGTATCCTTCTTTTGTTTTCTGCACTCAAAGAAAAAAAAAATAAAAAACTGGCCCCACCCTGGTAAGTTTGGTCTAGAACCGCCACTGATCTTTGTACTTCTAGAACATTAACCATCACCCATATTCCCATATTCTGCAGGGCTTCCAGTCAATGTATTGAAAATGTAAAGTCCATGTTTTTTTTGTTTTTTTTTATTAAAACGCTTGTTTGAATATCTTCGTGATTAAATAAGATAAACGTTCAGATATCTGCAGCTCTAGTGTTTAGCTTCCTCTAGATTTCCCATCACCTGACTACCTTCATGATGATGCCGCCACCGTGTTTCATTGTGTGCAGCATTTTCATGAGGCTCAAAACATTTTACTTTGCCCTTCAGTTTCTTTACTAGATATTATTTGAAAGGTTTCTAAATACATACAGATCTCACAATTCCAATGTATAAGAAAAATATTGAAAACTACATGTTTCTCTACAATAATTTAGCCATCTTGTCAACTCCTAAAAACAAAAATGTATTTTATTGTTTGAAAATGAGGTTGTTGTATTATTAGCCTAGGTCGTAAATGAGATCGAATCAGTTTTTCTCACCTAGATCTCAGAATTCCAGAGCTGCAATTGGCTCCTTCGTTCACTTAAAATATTGAAAATGAACATTTGCTATTAAAACAACAAACTGATGTTTGTAAAGGTGCAAAAGGTCAAAAGAAACAAATTCTTCCAAGTTCATCTTTCTTGAGCTTCCACATTTAACCTGCCATTGATGTTATTTTAACAGCAATGGCAGGTTTCTGCTTTGAGCCCACTAAAGAGTCATATTTCTGCTCAACTGGCCTAACGTTATAGCAACTGATTTGTCTTGAAATGCTGAAAAAACAAACCTTTTTCCTACATGCTGCATTATTCAAACATTGCTGCTCTTCTCCAGGACTACACAGTCTACCTCTCAGATGGGCTGCATCTCTCAGAGAAGGGGAACCAGTTTGTGGCCCAGCACCTTTGGAGCATATTGGAGAGTCGCGTGGCTCACCTGCCCTTCATCCTGCCTTACTGGGGAGACGTGGACGCCAAGAGCCCAGAGAGCAGCCTCCTCTGTGACGCATGAGAGAATGTTCCAGCAGCTAAAACCAAACTGGGTGGAACATTTTGCAAAGGAATCTTTTTTTTTTTTTTCAAATGATCATGAAATTAAATCAAATACTGATGCTTAAAATGTGCAATAAAGATGATTTGTTTTTTTACAAAGATGTTACTGCTGCTGGAAGAAAACATTCATACATGTAGAAAGAAAGGACTACACACAGTATGTAATGCAAAAGATGTATTTTCATACAATAAAATGTTTTACAGCATTAAGATATGACACAGCAGGTAACAGGTGAGACTGCATCAAACTGCAACATGTGCACAGCTCACATTGGCACGACTTTTTTCAAAGCAAACAAACGATCTGAGCACAAGCAGTGCTGCAGAACGGACAATATGATCCGATAAACAGGAGGTTTATAAGCACATAAATCTAAACATACTGGTAGTGCAGGAATCAGTGGAAAATGCTTTTTTTTTTTATTTACCAACATTGAACAAACTCGGTGATATACTAAAACTGTTGCTTCTTGTACATAGGAGCTACGATACAAACACAAGGGTCCAATATGCAACCTCTGAAAAATGTGTGCAAAACAGAGATTCTCCAGTGTTGAAAAGTGCTTTTGTTAAAAACAAACCTAAACTTGAGTGTCCTACAAGTCATAACCCACAATTGATTTCCTCAATAGTTGTGATGATTATGTAACATAATAAACTGAATATACTGGGAGTGGATTTGGTTTAATAAACGGACATTTATAGATGCACTATATTGCTGGAAGTATCGGATCACTGCATCAAAATGAACGTGAATGATGGAATAATTTGCTAACGGTGCTGTTTTTGTATAAAGTTAGGCAGCATCATGACCTTTATCTTATAGAAGAGCTTTAGGATGACTAACAGCAGAAGCTGCAGTTCTGCTTTTCTAATCTAAACGATCACAAACCTAAACTCTGTGAAAGATGTTTTTCCAGAGGAGTTAAAGTCGCTTTTATCAAAAAAGGTCCATCAACAAACTGAACCTACAGATTAAGCAAAGGATATCGAAGTACATGTACACTTAAAAGCACCCAGAAAAGATGCTTTTTGCAATACAGTGTATGAAGATAAGATTGGGAGTTTATTTTCTGAAGGTGCACAACGGCTATTTAATGAAAAACGACACAGTGGGAAAATCAGTCCTCCTTAAAATTAACCTGATTATTCATCAACTTTAAATCTAAACTGTTAAAAATGTTTCACTTTTCAGAATAACATCTATAAACTTCACTGTGTTTCATCTGGATTTTATAAGACAGACCAACACAAAGTGGTTTAGTTGAAAGTGAAAGAAAAATTTGAAATCTTTTTAAACAGATTTGCAAAAAATAAATCTAAAAAGTGTGGCATGCATTTGCATAGAAATCCATCTAAAGTAGCACCTTTTAACTCTTGAATATCTAACAGTTACCTAGATCACTTTCTGCCTTTTATTTTTAGTAAAGCAGCAAACAATTAGTCTGATTTGACTGAGAGGCTTTAAGTTTTCACACGTCATTCACACTTGCCTTATTTGACTGCAGTACCTCCAAATACAGGTACGCTTTGTCCACTAACACGGTTTGTGACTTCATATATCTTTCTTTTAACTTACTTTTTTTTTACTTACTGTCATACTGGGAGGTTGTCCAATTTGTGGAGTACAGGACAATAATAGAAGACTATCAGATAACTGCTCTGTGCACGAGATTTCATTTAGAGATGCTACATTATGGCTGAACATAAAATGCCTTTTTCTCTTATTCATTAGCTAAAATTATTATAAATGTTGCAATGGAGCATAATTTGCTGTTGGTTTATCATATAAAATCGCAGCAAAACACATTAAAGTTAGTGGTGACACTGGGAAAAATGTGAAAAGGTGTAAGAACGTATAATGCATTTCCTAATTCCTCAAACTTCAACAGATCTTTAAAAGGCACAAAATAAGAACTCAAAGCTGTAAAGAAGTGGCTCATTTTAACACATCAAGCTTACATTGTTCTGTTTGTTCTCTAAACGAAGGCGAATGCTTTTCTAAGAGGGAGAGCGGCGCCCTCCGTTCCCTCAGCACTCTGTCTCTTTAGAGTCGAGGCACTCCTGCCTCTTGAGGCGCCGTCGCTCCCTGGATGGGTTCTGACCTGTCAGATCCTCGAAGGAGGATTTCGTAGCCGACGAGGAGGCTCCGGCGGTTGTGAAATCGCCCGACAGCCCCTCCTCTACCAGGTGAGAGTCGCTGCTGGTGTCCTCCGGGATGGTGGCCATCCGCAGGTCCCCTGCGCTGTCCTGGTTGGCGGCGTAGCTCGGGCCGGGGTCCTGGGTAGTGGTGCTGCTGCAGGCCGCGGCTGGGGTCAGGGACCGGGCCTGGCTCTGCAGCAGAAGAGGTTGGGAAGAGGGCGCGGCCCGGGCGGCGAAGGGAGGCTGAGAATGCTTGACGATGCGCACGGGCGCCGACTCGGGGTTGCTCAGGATGTCTTGAGTCTGTGGAGCAAAAACAGCAGGTGAGGAAAAAAACTATGAGAAGCTCCTGCTTTAGACTGAGGTGGGATCCATTCCTTGTTTACTTCATTCTGGTTATGAAAAACTATCCGATTACTCTCCTGGACTTCAATCTTTACCAAAAAGTAGGAGTTTATTACTGCGATCCTTGTATTTATGTTATATCAGAGGAAATAAAGTAAACCCCACTCCCCTTTAAACTCACATCTAGGTTGGAATGAGTAAAGAAACCTTTCTTTCAGTGGACATTTGGAGTCGATAAAGACACAGTGGTCTGAAAAAGTATTTACCCCATGCATGTTTGTTCTCTTTTTAGCCTTTTTGTCACACTTTACAGTTCGGAATCCAAAACTACAATAAAATTCTAAAGAATACTTATCAGCTTTTGAAGACGGGTTCAAACTCGCTAATGTAGCATGATGACGATCGAAGCGAAAATTTAAGTATAAGCTATTCACAGTAGAAACCCTCTAATGTTGATTAATTACAATAATCACACAAAGCAGTGGGGAGGGAAGCCTCCACATAATGGAGGTAACGTCTTGTAAAATACTAATTCTCCTTTATCATAAAGGATTGACAGCTTTTCTCCTCAATAAATGAATAATAAAAAAACAACAACTATGAGTGATACTTATTTTTCTTATGATCTCAAACATCTAAATGTGACAAAAGACGTAAAGGCAGAAGAAATCTGTAAGGGGGCAATACTTTGAAAAATGTGTCATATTTGGTTCTTAAGAGAAAACCTGAAGCCAAAAGTCATGCCAGACAGCTGATTGAATGACGTCTGGAACAAATAAAATAAATCTACATACGCTCAGGTCAAAATGTCAACAAAAAAGAAAGGTCTACAGAGGAATGTTGCCTCAGTCTTGACATTGATCCAATTAAGCTCAAATTTGACCTACAGTGTACGATACCACAGTTAGCTTTAACAGCAGCAGTTGCAAACTTAAAATGACGACACACTCCATCTTATACCACAAAGGACAACATGTTTCAATCCTCTTGCTCTTTGAATACTCCTAAAATTCAGTCTTGCCTCCCTGAAGTAATTCCTGATCAGATCAGACAGAGTCCGTGACGAAGAACACAGTCTCCACTTTGTGTACATGCAGGACAAAGATGGGAAGTGTGCGGTCAGATCAGTGATTACTTCAAAGAGAAAGTGACTCCAGGAGTATCCCCAGCGGAGGCCACTGACCATGCACTCAATGGCAACACATGGCAACACCAGGCAGTGGCACAGACTCACTCACCTACAGCAGGAGCTCTATTACAAACCTCCACCATCTGCTGCGGTGCCGGGGCAGAGAGCGATCAACAGGTCATTCTGGAAGCCTAGCAGTGATGCATGATCTACCAGATGGATCAAACCACCTCAGCTATTCTCCTTATAAGAAACTATCAGCTGTCTGAATTTGTTCCAGATTTATCTGAATCCTGATGCAAGTTTTATTTTATAGAAATCCTCTAAACCCTAAAAGATTGTAAGCTAGTTACAATAAGTTTGATCATTATAGGTTAAAGCAATGAGCTACCATTCCTCCAACCTAATAAGATGTTAAGGCCCCTTATGACCAGATTAAGACCTTCCTACAATCTCCAGAATCTGCTGCAAAAATAACAACATCTTCTTAGACTAGTACTTATTATCATAAGGATCCAGAGCTTCTTGATACCTCCAGCAGTCCATAAGATATAAGCAGCAGGTTCCCTTTATGAGGCTACCACATCCCAGCCCTGATTGGGTCCAACCTTCAGCATACTGTATGCACTAGAACATTACTTTACTAAATATAAACCGCCGCAAGTATCATGCCGGCCCGCAGACTAGGGCTGAAAAAATTTATCGGATTCAGTAACTAATTTAGTAATTGATTCATCGCTAACTGCCATATTGAGACTCTAAAACGTACCTTTAGCTGACAGGTCAACAATAATTATACAAAAATTAATAAATATAATAATAAATAAAATCTATCTGTCAGTATGTTCTATCCAGAACTCCTAAAGCTTAACATTTTTTGTTTCACCTGGTTTAATTATTATATATTAATTATTCAAAAAAATAATGGGCAGATGAAATCAATTTGAAAAATAATTATTAGTTTTGACACTGGTTCCTCTGTATAAGCTAGAATATCAGCAACACTTTTATTGGATTTATCAATTTAGTTCCAATAGTAAATAGTGGTGAGATTATATTTTAACTTAAGACTTTATCTTCCTGATCACTGCACATGTAACACCAGGACTTTCTTTTAATAGCCTGGAAGTTAGGTAGTCTTCCAGATTTCCAGCACAACCAAATATAGGTGCAATTTGGAGATGTGCGTACTTTTCAGGGAAAAACACAAACAGATCTGTCTGTAAGGAGTCTCGGTATGGTGTATTATCCAATGATGTAGAGAGGGTACTTTTTATATTTTTGTTTCTCCTGCTTGGTGAGATCTTTTAGAGCGAAGAGTTTGAGAGTTCTGCCAGGAGATTGTGATTGTAGTAAGGTTGTAGGATAGACATGAGGAGCATGCAGCATGAACAGCCTGATGTTCTCTGAACATTAAGCTGTGCAGCTGTATGCGTTTCTCACAGAGCAGACATGCTCCCCAATGCTCCTCCCAGCATCGGATGTATATTGCAGTAAAACCAGTCTTGTGCGACGGAATCTGCTGCAGCACACAAAATAACGCTGAGAACCTGCAAAGACTGTAGTTTGGTTTTAATCTAGCATGAAGGGTGCCCAACATTTATATTTCTTTACATCCTAAATTAAAAACAAAGTCCAAACTGTTGTAAAAACTGTTGATCAGTTATATTAAAATACAAATTGGGTATAAATCCAGGTAGATCTTGCAAACTACCACTAACATCAAACTTTTTCCCTCCCACTTTTTTTTTTAACCGAGTGCCAGGCAGATTAGTCCTTAAAAGGCAAATGTTTGATTAGTTTCAGTTAGTGTAGCAACAAGGCAAGTGCACAGGAAGTCAAACAATTGTTGAAAAAAGACAGGGAGCTTACGCTGGGAGCGAAGTAAAAGGATTTGGCGTTCTCTGCGTACTGCTGATCAAGTCGTTTGTCCTTTAGAAAGAAACAAGACAGTCAACAGGTGAGAAAGGTAACTACCAGAGAGTAAGACAGGAGTAACATTTTTGAAGGAGATGTGGACAAAGGTAACTTTAAAGCTTCTTACCACACAGTAAACCAAGATGCTGAGAGGAATCCAGAAAATAAGGGAAAACACCACGACTGAGCCCACTATGTTATCAGCCAAGAACTTCCCTGATTTACAAATAAAACCGTAAGAATACAAACAGAAAAGGAGCCAAAATACTTATCAATATTAGACTGGATTCAAAGTTCTTCACTGTGATGCTAGAGCAACTTTCTGGGACTGACTTACCAAATGTGTTGATGTCCAGTTTGTCAATGAAATCCCACAATCTTTCTATCACATCCTGCACCTGCTTCATGCATTTCCCCTGTTTGATGATAGAATAAAAATGAGCTTGAAACCTGATCAAGCAAGCAGCAAAAATGCAGATTTTCCCACTCACGTTTCCATCACAGAAGCCAACGGTGCAGGGTTTCCCTTTGCGAAGGTAAAGGAAAGTGCCATCGGGGTATGTGAACGGAGAACAGATCCCATGTTTCCTGCAGCACACCTTGCAGGAATCACTTGTTTCTACAAGAGGCAAGAATCCAAACAAAGAGCATTAAAACGTCCTCTGCCACAACAGTTATTTTTCTCAACCTTTAACCTCATTTTTCTTTCAGCTGCAGCAAATCTTACATCCTAAGATTTGTTTAGATCATCATTCGAGAATAGAAACTATTCTATAATAAAGCTATTTTAGCCACTGATCCCTTTTAATCAAATCAGAAATCATACATTTGTATTTATATAAATGTAAAACACATTATGGACCGCATTCTACTTTTAATAAGAAGCAACAGTTGCTACCTGGAAATGTAATGTTTATTTCCTGTTAGCTACCATTGATTGTGACAGATTTATTTATGAATATTACAACAGATAAATGTAGATTAACCCTGCCACAGACAATAAGTATTCAAACGTCAACAATACAATCCTACAAGGGGAACCAAATTACAAAATATAAAAAAAAAAATAGCTGAATTAAGCATTTCTATTAGATGCTTTTTATAGTATTAAAACAGACCAAGCTAAAACCCCTCCTGGTGTTTTAGTATAACAATCCTGTGGACTTTATGCCCTTTATTATACTCTCTAACGTTAATCCATTTCATGAAGTCATTTTAATGTAAACTTATCTGCCATGCAGACCTGAGATTTTATAGAAACAGGCTCTATCCATAGTGGTAATTATCTTGTTTCTGTAAAATCCGGATAATATTAACATAAATGCCTTCACAGACTAGGGCTGGGTAATTAATTGCATTTGCAACAATTGCAATTTAACAAAACGCAATTTTCCAATTTCAGATGCAATCAATTTTGGTCATAATAAATTTAATACGAGGAAGTAGCTAAATTTTATCCCTTAAGCTGTTGGTAATATGCTAAAAGTAGGTTTGCATCCAGACAGACAGGAATAGAAAGTGGAAATCCATGCTCATACGTAGAATTTAACACTTCTTGACAAAAGGTTTCAGTAAAGTCCTGCAACAAAGGACTCTGGAAAAGTAAGCTTTCCAGATCATGAAAAGGCTGAAACCATGTAGTGAAACATTTAACTGATTTTGGTTAATGCAAAGGAAAATCGAAATAAAATTGCAATATTTAATATATTTGCAATTTTCCTTTTTGGCAAAATCATTCAGCCCTATCTCAGATACTATTTAATTGGCATTTATTTTTCTTTTTTCATACTTTCTATAGAACTTTCTTCTTTTTATCCCTCTAAAGGCAACTGATTTAAAATATTTAATTATATATCTTTCATTAAAAGTGAGCTCAAATACTCCTGTAGACATTTACCGTTGCAGGCGCATGACTGTAGCTTCTCAATGGCTTCGCAAAACGGTTTACACTCTCCTTTGAGACATCGGCCGTTGTCTACACAGATTGTATCGTCCATCGCATTTTCAGGCGGTGGACACTGACTGCTGTTACCTGTTAAAGGAGGAAATGGTTGATAAACACAATTCTATCGTACACACAAAATTCAATGTTGGTGTAAATATTGCAGTTGTAGAGTGAAACCAGCGGAGGGCGATCACCTGTGCAGAAAGACATGCCTTTACATGTGGCACTGATGGGTTCCTGGCATTTTGTCCCTGCCTGCTGATACTGGCAGTTCTTGCAGCACGGGCTGTTTCTGTCACTGCAGAGACACATCAGTCACTCCACTACTCATCTCCTGGAGCCTCTGACCTTACTGATGACTTACCTGCACTTTACATTTTCTCTGAACTTGCACTCTGGAGAACAACAGAGGTCATCATTGAGATGGAGGAGCCCTGGATCGCAGTCTTCCCCTTCTTCTACTCTGGAGTTCCCACAGACTTTACTGTTTCTCTCCTTGAAGCACATCGGAGCCTTGAGCTGCAGCGACTTTCCAACCGAAGCCTTGCTGCAATCGGAGAAACGCTTTGGGGGATAAACACATTTGAAAGTTAGATCTAAAATAAGAAAAAAGAATTGAAAGAATATTTTAATCAATAACATTTCTTTGACCATTTTACTTCTGATCTTTTCTTATTTAGTGAGTAATTACGACTTGTAGATTCCCCAAACTCATCTTATTGACCAATTCTCTAATAAAGGTGCTTTGAGTTTTATCCAAAAAGGGACAGACAGCTTAAGCTGTTCATCTTAAACATGGTTATTTGAACAAAATAATGAGTGTTTCAATCCTTTTACGTTGCTGTACTTATATCAGCCCAGACATTCAATTAAGAGCTCAGGAAATCGTTCCACCCCGTCAGATAATTCTAAAAAGTTTAATCATGTCTGTTTTTGCTTATCCTTTATGTGTAACTGCAACAGTTCAGGCTTGTCCTGAGTTGAAAGTGACGCATCACAGAGTCTCTACAGCCTAATCCGACCAAACTGATGCTTTCAAACACCAAAAAAAAGAAGATGACACCAAAAGCTGCAGCTTCTGCAGGGTTATTAGAAAGCAGATCTCCTCTGAGGAGACAACCGCAACAAAATGAGTTTCTGCCTGCCAAGTGCTGTCAAGGCCAATGGCGGAGGAGGCTCTTCACATTTCTATGTGTCATATTTCACAGGAACAAGTGCGACTCAGCAGTCAGGGTTTTTGAAACAGGATCAAATTAATTTGAACCAGTGAGATGCACTCAGACACAGAGACTTATAGAAGTATTTGTACCATTTTAATCTTTTCTCATTAAAAACTTGAATGTCGTTCAATCGGAGGTTAAACACAAAATAGAACATTTTTATTACCTCTGCGAAGGAGGTTATGATCTTAGGAGAGTAACGTGCATTTGTCTGTCTGTATACAGGATAACTTGAAGACCTATGAGCAGATTTTAATGAAATTTTTGCCAGATGTACACCTCAGTTCTATGAAAAATCCATTACATCTGATGATGATGATCCAGATCACCATCTGGATCTAGGAATCTTTTGAAAGATTCTGTGAATACATGTATTAATTTAAGGTGGAAGTCACAATATTTCAAGGGAAATTAACTACTTGGTGGAGGTCTGCCCACTCTGAGTGCTTTTCTAATTAAGATATGCTGCTGCCATGCAAATGCATTCCAGCAGAATAAGGCATTTAAGCCCTGGTTGTATATTTGCAGTGATTATCTTAAGTTTGAGGTCTCTGGTGTGCTTTATAAAGGACTTTCCTCAATTTAGGTCCACATCTTTCTACCAGGCAGATTTCTCTCTCCAAACAGCGGAAAAGCACCCCTACAGCATGATGTCAGCCTCTTCAGGGTGTCGTTAAGTTACCTTTTTCTTCTTTTTTTTTTCTTAACTACAAAAAAACACATTGGATTTTCTTTCCACTTTACAATAATCCCCTGCTTTGTTTAAGTCAGAAACAAAAAATACAAATAATTGTATATGCTTCATAAGCATAGTTTGGTTTTTACATTTTACATCAGAACGGCTCTAAATGACACAAAACTCATATTGGTGAATAGAACATGATGTAATAACGTAAAATCAAGGGCCAAATGTAAAAAAAAAACGGAGTTCCCCTTTAAATATATATATATAAAATAAAAATAAAAACACCTTAAAATCTCCATCATTAAACAATTAGCTTGCATAAAGTAAACAAGGTTATAATAGTTTTGGATCTTTCATTCTAGTTTATTTAGTTGCAAATATTCTTCCATCTAATTCATTTACGGTAGATTTAATTCATTTTTAGAACGTAGCTGCTATTTCGATTAGTTATAATTACTCTATTAAGCTTTGCTTTGGTTTAATTTGATTAGTTCTAGTGCTACATTTGTTTGTTGTTTTTTTATACTTAGGTGTATTTTTTGGGCGTAGGATTCCAAAAGGCCAGAGTGCATGCGTAAAGTTTTGCATTGAAGTAATAAAAACTCAGAACCAAACACCATTTTTTTTAAAACTGTTCAGTTATATCTGACTTTAACAGAGTCCTATGAGAAATACACAATTTTTCATCGGGTTGCAAGGCTCTATACTTCTAGTATGTTTTAGTTAGTTTTATAAACACAAAATAAAGCTAAGTTTTAATTTCACTTCTACCTTTGTGTTGCAGTTGTTTTCATTAATTTCCATTAACATTACCGTATTTTCACGACTATAAGGCGCATATAAACGTCTTTTTTTCCCTCAAAATGTGGGGCGCGCCCTATGGTGCGGTGCGCCCTATCTGCGGACGTTGTTGAGACCACCATGAGTATATGAGAACGTTAAAGGGGGAAGTGTGGGCGTGGATTGTGTATAAAAGAACAGGTATGTGCTTTACGCAGAACATTGTTGTCTTAACAACCCTGGAAATGGCAAAGAGACACGCCTATGAAGCCCAGTTTAAACTGCAGGCTATCAGCTACGCAGAGGAACATGGAAATAGAGCAGCTGCGAGAGAATTCAATATAAATGAATCGATGGTTCGCAAGTGAAGGAAGCTGGAAAATGAACTCCGACAGGTGAAGAAGACGCAGCTGAGTTTCCGCGGACATAAGGCGAGGTGGCCCGAGTTGGAGGAAAGACTCGAGCGGTGGATCGTGGAGCAAAGAACGAGTGGGGCCAGCGTTTCAACGGTCACTGTTTGACTAAAAGCAGTAAAGCTAGCGGAAGAAATGAAAATTGAAAATTTTCAAGGAGGTCCATCGTGGTGCTTCCGTTGGTCATATTTACTCTTTATTTGCAAAAATTAAAGGGGGGGAACAGATTATTTCAGGCAGCTGAAATATATGGTCCCCCCCCCCCTTTAATTTTTGCAAATAAAGAGTAAATATGACCAAATCCACAGGATTTGTTATTGGTGATGAGAGGAATAAGCACAGTTAAAGACTTGCAGGTAAATCAATTTCTTCCCCTGTTATGGAGGGGGAACAGAATATTTCAGTAAGCTGAAACATCCATTCTCTCCTCTCCTCCTCCCATATCTTTGGGAAATAAAGAGCAACTGTTTCCAATTTCTCTAAAATTGATATG